GCTATGAATGTATTGTATTAAATTGTGAATTTTGTGTATTAATATGTGAATTTTAATCTTTGTATATTAAACGTATAAATGTAAGTTTTAATTTGATAATATGGCTATGAATATATAATTTTTGTGTATTAAACTGTGAATTTATTGTATTAAACTGTGAATTTTGTGTATTAAACTATGAATTGATTGTATTAAGAGTATCAAGTGATAATATGGTTGTGCATTTATATTTTTTGTGTATTTAACTGTGAATTTATGGTAATAAGTTGTGATTTTTATGTATTATGTTGTGATTTTATGATTTAAAATATGAATTAACTGCATTAAGCTGTGAATTTTCTGTTTAAACTGTGAATTTATTATATTAAGCTGTTAATTTTGTGTATTAACCTGTGATATGTGTGTTTAAAAAACTAAATTGATTACATTAAGTTGTGAATTAACTGTATGAAGTTATGATTTTTTAATGAATTTTGTGTTAGAACATGAATAATTTATGTATGAATGTTTGTATTAACTTTCTTGTGAATATATTTATTTTTTTGTGTTGTATAAATATGTAAGAGTGTATTAGTTTTTATATTTATTTTGCATTAAACCCATAATAAGTGAATTAATTGGCTTATTAAAATTTGAATATAGTATTTAACTTAGTATTTAAATTGTAAATTTTATACGAAGTTGTGAAATTTATGTATTAAATTGTGAATTGATTGTATTAAAGTTGTGAATTGACTATATAAGTTATTAATTAACTAATTAACTATATTAAGTTGTGAATTTTATATATTAAACTATACATTTGTTATATTAAGTTTTAAATTTGATGTATTAAATTGTGAATTAACTGTATTAAGTTGTGAATTGATTGTATTAAACTATAAATTAATTGTATAAACTGTGATTTTTTTATGAACTTAATATGAGATAAAAGAAACATTATACACATATATTATTTTCTCTAATTTTGAATAAAATATGTAAATTTTAAATTGTGACTGTCGTGTAAGTTAAACGTTGAAATATTAAATTAAGTTGTGAATTAGTGTTTGAAATGATGAATTAAATTGTGAATTCTAATTTCTTTTTATCCAAATCTGTTTTTGAGGAAAGGATGTTGACGGTGTTGGCACCGATGGATGATGGTCGAGATGGTTAATGGTGGCGTATGGTAGTTGGCGGTGTTGATGCTAGTGGTGGTGGTAGAGTAAGGATATGTTCTATTCATCACTCATCTTCATCTTTTTTGCTAATTTCAGATAAGTTATCATCTTTTATGATTCATGCATATGTTTTTTTATATTTTCCTTTGAAATATGCGATAATTTATGTATGTATTAAACTGTGAATGAGCTATTTATACACTGAAATATGAGATTATATTTTTCAATGATTTTTAAATGTATTGTATTAAACTATGAATTTTGTGTATTAAGTTGTAAATTTTATTCACATCTTAATATAATAAATTTATAATTTAATACACAAAAATTCCTCCAGATGTGAACGTATAGATGTGAGTTTTAAGTTGATAATATGGCTCTGAATATATATTTTTGTGTATTAAACTGTGAATTTATTATATTAAGTTATGAATTTATTGTATTAAACTGTGAATTGGCTATATTAAGCTGTGAATTTTTTATGAATTTTGTGTTTACTTCTAGAATATGTGAAGAAAGAAGCATTATACACATATATGATTTTATCTAATTTTAAATAAATTATATAAAATTTAAAGTGTGAATATTGTGTAAATTAAACTTTGAAAGAAAACACTAGCCTCCATATATGAAGGTATAAATGTAAGTTTTTAGTTCAGAATATGGAAATTCAGTTTATTAAATTGTTAATTTATTATATTATGTTGTAAGTTTTATGTCTTAAACGGTAATTGACTATATTAAGATGTGAATTGATTGTATTTTGCTATGAATGTGTTTTTTATAAATTTTGTGTTAAAATATTAATGATTTATGTATAAATTTTTGTATGAATATTCTTGTGAATATTTATTTTTGTGTTGTATACTTATGCAAGAATTCTTTAGTTTTTATAATTGTTTTTTATTAAATTCAAAATGAGTAAATTAATAGGTTTATTAAACTATGAATGTAGTATTTAACTTATCATTGCATTACTTTATATGCAGATCTGATTTGTAAGGAAGAATGGTTGCGATGGTGGTATAGGTGGTGGCAGCGTGTGGTGGTGGTGGTGATGGTAGAGTTTGGGTTTGGGAATTCTCTGAATTTGTGAATTAGTGTAAAGTTGATTGTATTAATTGTGAATTTTGTGTATTAAACTGTAAATTGACTGTATAAATTTGTATTTTATATAAATTTTGTGTTAAATATGAATGAATGCATGAATGAAAATATTAGACTAAAAAAATTTACAATTTTACCCTTTTCTTACCAAAAAGACAAAAATTGGGATTTTAACATATTTAGTAATATTCACAATACATATTTACTTATGAAACGAGGGCTCTTAGGGTTTTTAAACAAAAAATATACATGTTTCTGATTGTGTCAAAATGCTTTTTCACTATATTCTTCTTTCTTATAATAAAACATACATTGGTATTTGATAGATGTTAATCACATGTGATTGTATATAATTTGTATATATAAAAGATTGTAATCATATTTGATTAAAAAAGAGTGTTATGTTTATGTGTATAATCATACTTGATTGAATTATACTTTCTCATTCTTTTCTTCTGTTTTTTCTCTGTATTTTTGCCGTTTCACTCTCCTTTTTTCCCTTTTTTCCTTTTGTTCAGGATTTTCTGAGATATAAAAATACATATATAATCAGAAAATCACAAAGTCAATTTAATCACATGTGATTAAAGATCTTTTGTGTACATATAGTGTTCATAACAGATAATAATCACATGTTATTGAATCTATTTTGGTACATAAAAGATATCAATCATATATGATTAATAATAGAATGCTTTTTTTTGTTTTATAACCATTTGCAATTGAAATATACATTTTTCAAATATCTTTGTTGATGATTTTCTTGTTGTTTTTCTTTCGGTAGGTTTTTTCTGTGTATGCTTTTCTTTGTTTTGTTCTGAAAAATATAAATACAAATATAATTAGAAAATCATATTTGATTATACACATAAAATATATGAATCACAATTGATTATTTAATGATTGAAGTATTACCATTTTGAGTTGGTCTCATTGTTGTTGCTTTTGTAAATTTTTTAGTACTAGTTTCTTTAGGTATTAGCTCCTCTTTAGTGTTTTCTGAGATGTACAAATACATGTATTATAAAAAAATCATATATGATTAATCCAAGTGATGACAAATAAATAATATTGTTTATATAGATTGTGATCACATGTGATTCAATCTTTGTTGTATGTATAAATGTAATCACATGTGATTCAATCCTTTTGGAGATTATAACATCAACAAATCATATATGATTGCACACAATCACTATAAGTAAGAATTCATCAGCAAATCATATATGATTGAACACAATCATTTACAACATATGATTTATCACCTTCATGCACGTTTTTGGATCTGTCCTCTTTCTGGAATATTTTTTCAAACGTTTTAGTAGTTTCTGCAAGTTCAAACTGACTTTATTTACATAATACATGAATAACATAACACTAAATCGAGAACTTAAACGTTAATATTCGTAAAATTGAGTGATATTAAACAGAAAACCTTTAGTAACTTGTTCGACATCGAAAACTATGATTTTAGTTCGAAATAACTTTTGAATAAATGCAGATTTCGTGTATAATGAACAAATCAACAGTAGAAAAACTCGATATAGTCGTAACTAAGGTTTTAGTTCGAAATAACTTTTGAATAAATGCATATTTTATGTATATTAAACAAAGCAACAGTAGAAAAACTCGATATACTCGTAACTAGTGTTTTAGTTCGAAATAACTTTTGAATAAATGCAGATTTCGTGTATCTTAAACAAAGCAGGTGTAGAAAAACTCGATATACTCGTAAAATTGAGTGTTATTTAACAGAAAACCTTCAGTAAATTGTTGGACATCGAAAACTAGGGTTTGATTTCAAAAAAACTTTTGAATGATGTCGATTTCCTGTATATCGATTAAACGAACAGTAGAAAAACTCGATAATCATGAAAATCAAGTGATATTCAGCAAAAAAAAAAAAAAAACTCGATATTCATGTAAATCAAGTGATATTCAGCAAAAAAAAAACATCGAATACGCGCTTTGATACCTTTCGATGAAGCTTTTGATGACATTTTCTCTGTTTTTGACGTCATTTTCTTCATTTTCGTTGAAAATCGATGAAATGTAAGAGAGAAATGAGGGTTTTCGGTTGAGAGAAACAAGGGTTTTGGTTTTCGTAAATCGAGGATTCCGACAATGTATATATGCACAATTCAGTTAATATTCCTTTTTACAATTATACCCCTGTTATTTTTTAAATGTCATATGTTTGCAACCAATTGTTGAGTTATTTACAATTATTTGTAAAATTAAAGTGTAATTTTTGTTCTCAAATGTTCTCGCAATAAAAATGTTCTCGATTGAACGCTTCCCTCTCTCTCTCTCTCTCTCTCTCTCTCTCTCTATATATATATATATATATATATATATATATATATATATATATATATATATATATAACATTTTTTGAAATAACTAGTGCTATGTAAAAAAAAAATAACAAACAATTTTATTTATATTAAAAAACTGTTGATAGTGATAAACAATTAATATATTCATGTCAGTAGACTATCGAAAAAATGTTAATTATGAATGAGTAAAATATTTGTTAAAAGTATATAAACTGATTAGCAAACCAACATGATTGCATTGCAGTTGTATGGATGGTCTAATAACCTGAATATTTAGTAGATCAACATACGATGAAAATATAGTTACTTGTTGAAGCAAGCGAATAATGAAACATGTTAGTTTTGTTAAAGAATAATAAGAAAAATAATCCTTATTACAAAAAGGATAAAGGTTACAGCTAACTAAGTAAACAAAATTCTACATGAACCAAGAAAGCAACAGTGCAGTGCACTTCCCATAGTTGGGTGGGTGTGAGTGTGGGTCTGTTACCATAAATTATTTGTAGTTGTCGGAAGCAGAATGCATGCCCCCTTGTTCCTGTGTGTGTATTATTTGTGAGACTAACAAGTCTTGTTTATGATTTATGTAAATTTCAAAATTTGTCCGAATTGAATTTTGGATTAAATAAAATCGGGCTGGCCAGTAGATGTCAAGCAACGATGCCACATGCGGCTGTTTGGATCGACTGTCCTGGGATAAGATATGACTTGAGGAATAGGAAGGTAGACGTAGTGAGTGTTGCATATGCCGACTGTGATGCCACTATATCCAGCAAATGCACCATGGACCTGTAGTGTTCACACAAACCATCAAAAATTAAAATTATGTAAAAGTTAAAAGTTACAAGGTCAAGGTCAAGGACTGGAAAACAAACTTACAGCATTTTGACCGAGCACGGTGCAGAGGATTCCGTCTGATGCGTTTGCTCGGCAGGCACGGATCATGTATGTAGGATCAATGTATTTCACATCAGCTGGATCCCCAATCTCTTTGAAATATTTTTTTATCTAAAAAAACACTACAGGGTTAGAATTTAGAAATAGCATATCATACTTTCATTCATTTGTTTCTTATAATATATAGTATCGGATTTTCGCCTCTTCCTATCCACTTATTATACTTATATTTATAGCAAACACATAGCCATATTCACTGCTACGATTAAGTAAATTTTATAAAAAAAAAATGGATGTAAAAGAGTTTTCAAAGTAGAACGTTTCCATATAGAAAGTAGAAAGTACCTCCTGTTGTATATGAACGCCAATATCTCCAAGTACAACGTTCCCAGATGCATCCTTAGCATTTGTTTTCTCCAAAAAGTTCTATACAAAAAACTATTACAAATTGTAAGTTGAGAAATGACATGGTGTATTTTTTTAATCAAATTACAATCTATTTTTTTCTAAAAACAAGTAGAAAATATACATTTTATTATTTATAGTCTTATTTGTTTTTTGTAAATGAAGAAAATATTAACTATAAGTCTATAATTAAATTATGTTAGAAGTTAGAACTAACCTGACCGGCTCCCTCTGCTACACAGATGACAGCTGATCCCTTTGTCTCAAGTAGATACTTTAGATGTTTTAGGACACCATGTGGCCCATGCAACTCAAAGGGTACCTTTAATTTTTTTTTTAATTAAAAAAAATATATATACATTGTGTTAATGACTAGATAAATAAGTATGTGATAAGGCAGGCAAGAAACAACTGAAGCAAAATACCTCAGGAATCAAACATATATCAATCTGGCCACTAGCAAGAGCTGCTTGCATAGCTATAAAACCACTACTACGCCCCATCAATTTTACAATTCCAACACCACGATAAGCACTATGCGCCTGCCAAAAAATAATAATAATAAATAATTATGTGTTGTGTTGTACCCAACCCACAGACAGCACAAGGAGAATTTAAAGATGAAATGAAATTACTACTTCAATGTATGCAGAATTTATGGCTCTTTGTGCTTCCTCTACAGCAGTATCAAAACCAAATGTCTTATCCATCAGCAAAATATCATTATCTATAGTTTTGGGAACACCAACTACAGCCACCTTTAACCCTCGTTTTATCAACTAACCACAACAAACAATTCAAATTCAAATGATAATTGAAATCATAAAACTGCATGCAAACAGATTCTTAATAACCTAACCTACCTCATTGTGTATTGCATTAGCACCCGCATGTGTTCCATTCCCACCCAGCACAAAAAGCATGTTGATTCCTCTTTCCTGCCACCAATTCATATCATATCATATCATATCACTCACAACTCATGGCTTGACTTGAGTAAACTAATAAATGCAAGAAATACCTACCAATAAGTATTTGTTTATCTCATAACATTAAACATTCTATTTCTACCTACCTACATGTACACGAGTGAGTACATGTCTTTCTATTACCAACATTGTTTGTACTCTCAATATCTTTCTTATTAACGCACGCATAGTTGTTGTACTTGGAAAAATCTACCTATATTTTTCTTCTTAGTTGCTGAGGAAGAAATGATCAAGTGAAAGTATGTTGCTATTTATAACAAAGAGCAAATATTTTTAGATGAAGTAAGTACCTGCATGCTATCCACAATTTCACTGACATTTGGTCCTCCACGAGAAACTCCTAACAAGCTTCCACCAGAAAGATGGACATTTTGAACAACCTTCCTGGACAACTAACAATCAACAACCAGATTCAGTTACTCATAAAACAATCAATCAGGAGGTTGGTGGGTGGGTGGAGGGCATTCACGTCAAATAATTATTATAAGGCATGGAAGGAAAACTTAATCCCACGTATAAAGCAAGCAAGATCATACGGGTAAAAAAAACAAAAGAGGAAAATGCTTAAACCAAACTCACTGGTATTTCAGCTAATTCGTTGCCAAATCCACGATATCCAAAAGGGATCCCCACAATCTTTTTCACACCATAAATCTCCAGGGTGATGACAATCTGTAAAGGACAGGAAAGAATTCAGTAATTAAATTAATTGTGTCTCAAATCTTCTAAATGCTTTCATTTATATTTATATTTGTATTTGTATAATACCACTCTACTTATTACAAAATCGTTTTTTTTCTCTTATCAAGGAATTGTACCAGTTACAGCATTGTAATTTCAGTTTTCTATACTCTGAAAAATCTAATTATACAAGTGAAAAATGTTTTATATCTGAATGACAATGCTATAATTGGGTACGTACGATATTGTAATAGAAAGAAATGAAAGTAGGATGCTATCAAATCAAATGGAGTACATTGCTATTTCTTGCATCTAACCCTTTAAATGTCATTCTAGTTATTTCTTTGTCTTTAGCATTTAACATTTTTGGAAGAGAATTTGGTCATACAGTGTTATGAAAAACGGTTAGTGAATCTAGGTTGTCAAATGACCTTGTTGTTGTGTTCAAGCCATAGGAAACTAAATAGACATTTATTCAAATATCTAAATCTAAATATTGGTTATTCCTAGACAATGTGAATATAATGGATCTTCTTATTAACAAGGAATGTAACAATGATTTTTCTTTTCATTATAAACGACAACAAGTTCATTTTAGTTTTGGAGGGAATATATAAAATTTAACTGGGCTAACAATTATCCAGCCACTTAATAAGTCTTAAGCCAATTCCCCCAACTTAGCTAAAAATATAAAATGAGCATATTTTTAGAAGTGAAAAAATATATCAAGAAACCACCTGTCGTATGACATCATTAAGCCCAGGACAGAGTCCGCCACAAGTTATAATTGCAGCCTTCACATCTTCTGGTTTGAAGTATATTTTCTCACGAGGCCCAGCACGGTGAATCCTATATCCATCATTTTTACACATCATTTTCTTAATATTTCTAAATACTAATATATATATATATACATCAAATTGACATGTTATCAAATTGTGTTAGTATTTATTCAACTGTTATCAAATTTATACACTGTGTGAGTACATCAATTATCAAAAATATTATCAAATCTTCTGCAGAGATAAGATGCTAAATTATTACACGAAACAAACAACTTTTTACAAAGATGAAAGAAGATGCTCCATTATCGCAAAAGAAGATTTTCCATTATCAAAAATGACAAAATATGATGCCAATTTGTCAAAAGCGTTAGAGTTTTGTCTGCCACATCTACACTCCGACAAATGCAAGTTGATTCAATAATTCTCAAGATTGATCCGGTAATCCTTCGGTTTCCCGTTTCAAGATATTTCAAGACTCCAAGACTCCTATATATTAAGGAGATATGTTTTAATTAGAATCATCTCTGGGTTCTCTAAAATTTCTCTCATTAATTTCTCTCAATGTTTAGTTCATGTCTAAGAAA